CCCGCAGACGTGGTGGTGCTTCTCCCAATCCTTGTGCTGGCAGAAGGAGCCGCAGTAGCGGGCGGTGTTGCAGCCGCTGCAGGTCTCGCTCGCTTTGCGCCCGCAGTTCCAGCAGCTCTGTGGGGATGCAAAGCCAAATCTCAGCCCCGGGTCGTGCAGCCCCATCCCGGACCACGCACCCCCAGCCTGGACCATGTCTCCCCATCCCAGACTGTGCTCTCCCATCCTGGACCACATCCCTCCATCCTGGACCATACATCTCCATCCTGGACCATGCACATCATTCCAGACCTTGCATCTGCATCTCAGACCATTCATCCCCATCCTGGACCATGCATCCCCATCCTGGACCGACTGTGCTTCCTCATCCTGGATCATAGATCCCCATCCCAGACCATGTACATCATCCCGGACCATGCACCTGCATCCCAGACCACGCCATCCCCACCCCAGACTGTGCTCTCTCATCCTGGACCATACTCCCCCCATCCTGTACCATGCACCCGCATCCCAGACCATGCACATCATCCCAGACGGTGCATTCCCATCCTGGACCATTCTCCCCCATCCTGGACCATAGTCCCCCCATCCTGGACCATACACCTCCATCCCAGACTGTGCTCCCCTCATCCTGGACCTTGCACCCCATCCCCAGCCCGGTGCAAGACATTCCCTCTTCTTCCTTCCCATCCCCTGGTGTTGCCGCAGCCCCCCCGGTACCCAGGCTTGCACACACGGACGCTGCAAACTTGACTGCAAAAGGAGCAGGTCTCAAACGCCCGCGCTGCCTCCGACCCCGTGCCCCCCGTCTTGTCCCTGCCAGCCCCCACCTCGCTCGAGTCCTCCTGCTGATTGATGACGGTCAGGGCATCCTCCGAAGCCTGGCGCTTGGCCTCGGCCAGGGCTCGCTCCATCTTGGCTCGCTCTGTCGTGATCAGCTCGTGGGCTTTCCGCTCGGCATCCGACACGGCCTTCTGCAGCTCGGACATGGCCTGACGCTTCACCTCGTTCACAGCTTCTTCTGGAAGGAAGGCGGCCGAGCGTGGCACGGGGTGTGCCGGCCCCCCAGCCCTGCCTCCGCGCATCCCCCTCTGCGGCAGCACCACGGGAGGG